CTCCAAAATAAAGTGTTCATGTTCAAGCCTCCTCTTAGGGCGGACAGGGCTTCACGATCGGTGACTTGAACACAACGTGTCATTTCATCCATGAAGCGGGATAAGAAACTCTTCAAAGTTTCATCAGGCTGTTGCCTCATATCTTGAAGACGCTGAATGGGAGCCTCTCTCTCCTTACTCACAGCAAATCCCTTCAAAAAGGTGGTTTTAAATTCTGGCCAACTCCAAATGCTCCCAGGCGGTAGCCTGCTATACCATATTTCAGTGGCTCTACTCAGGATTAAATGGAAAGCCATGCACTTCACAGCTGGGATGGCACCTCTCAAGCTCATGTGCGCCTTGTAACTGTTCAAGTGCTTTGCCAGATCGCCTCTCCCATCATATTTTGGTATTTTAGACATTGCGTAATAGCTTGGAACCTGGGCATTTCTTAACTCTCGTGAAAATGGTAGGTTTTTATCATCATCATCATCTAGGTCACAGGATCTTTGTGGGCCATCCAAATTATAGTTAGCTTCTGCCTCATACTTGGGCGGTAGTGCAGAAAATCCTGCCTAGTTACCCGCCTTCTCTTCCCTCCTTTGATGCTCATGCCTAAGGCAGTACAACTCGAGGTAGGCATGTTTTTGCCTTTCCTCCGGTTGCTAAGTCTCGGGAGGTAGGGACTGTGGCCTGTTCCTAGGCGCCGGTGCTTCACTCCATTGCCTACGCCTCGGTTCGACTGGGCTTAACCTGTCAACCATGCTGATGGACCTCTGAGGTCTGGGTTCTGGTTTGAATGGGGCCTCGGTGGCTCGGCCAGAAGAATAATTGGAGGATATGTCAACTCCCACTTCTCTTTCAATAAGGTTCCCTTCCCTATTATGCCTGGGAGGGCGAGCTCTTTGACTTTGCACCTCCTCGGGTTGATACTGCTCCTGAGGAACATAGGGGGTAGTTGGGCGACCTCCATGGCCTTGCATCTGCATCAACAGCTCTTACATCACCAGGTTTTGGTTGGTGATTCTCCTCATATTGGTTGTCATAGTCGCCATTTCCCTAGTAAGTTGGGCCGCTAACCTTCTTGCACCTCGTCTATGGTGGTGATGGTGTTGGCGTCGGGCCGCCGGGGCCTCATTATCAGTCTACCTTGTGCACCTGGGAGGAACATCCTCTTCTGAACTCATCTCTTTCCAAGCTTAAAACCTTGAATATTTTTCAACTCTGGGGACTTCCTCTTATTCTTTTCTCAAGAACAAATCCTTTTTCAAGGAGATGACCAAAGTATTTTCTCAAACAGCTTTTTCCACGGGGTTGCTCATGGTTATAATGTGGTTTCCCACAGACAGCGTCAATCTGTTGACCTCAAAAAATGTTGCCAACAGATGTCGAACCCACTCGTGTATACGTAAGCTTAATCGAACACGTTTATGCCGATCGACGGTCAAGATAGCTCCAGAATCTGAATGTGGGAGGAGCTCAACGACACGAGACGTCACCGTTCGGG